AACATTACCTTTCATTTTTTTATTTTCAGATTATTATTATTATTATTTAATTTTTAACCCTTCTTAGTCCTCAGGGCTGGTTACCTGACTTGTCTCGGTTCATGTTTTCAAGCACTGATTTTGGCATCAGAAAACCATCGGATTGATGAACTTGACATCGAGATATATGGATAACATTTCAAGTCTAAAAAATAGTACATCTTGCAATACATTATCTGGACGACCATTGTCAATGTTTCATGTATTTATATATCTTCTTAATTTGAACCATTTTTGGGTTTTAAAATTTATAATTAGAGATGAAATTAGATGCTCGGCACTATCCGAAATATTTTTGACACCAAAATTGCATCTTATGACAAAGTTTGAAATTAGATGTTTAGTATTATCTGAAATATTTTCGATACTAAAATTACATCTTATGACAAAGTTTGATGATGTGCACCTTACTTTGATTTGTTTAATATTGCAACCTTATGCAAACATCACCCTAAAAATTAAAAATGCTCAAGAAAATGGTGTTCCACCTTTTAAAGTTGCAAAAATGGATGATAAATTTGTGAAACTCACAATGTAAATTGACAAGTGCTACAAGATATAGTATTTTTTGGGCTTAAAATTCATTTATTTAACATTCATAATTTTGTATCCACATAATTTTTAGGTGATATGAGACAACATATTCCAAAAAGATTTAAGCAGCGGTCTAGAAAGGTGCATGGCAACCGCAAACGGTTTTCCTAACCATTTACGGGGAAATGAAGTGTGATCAATTACTATGAACTCAACAAATTTATGGTGATGTTTACTCACCATCCAATTAATGGATGGACGGATATGTTGAGGGAAAATTTACTTCAAATAAATACAGGAAACCGACATGTACGGATCCAAAAACAAACCAATTTGTATCCAAAAACAAACCAATTTGTATTTTTTTTGAAGGGTGCAGTTGGCATACGGATGCATCCGTAGATGTAGAGGGGTAAGATGTACCTTCAAATTTTATGATGGTATATAATTTATGTAAAATGTTTTTATTATTATCTCAAAATCTATTTTTATATCTAATTAGAAAATTTTAAATTTAAAAAATAGTTAAAATCAAGTAGATCTATAAACATATGAAAATATTGAAAATGAATGGTGTAGATAATAAGTTGCAAAATGCACTATTTGTAACACTTAAAATCTTTTTATTTTTCATGGTCATACATCTCAATGTATGAGATGATTAATCAAAGGGTCTTTCAACATTAAAACTACTTTTTCCGATGGATTTTGGACGTGCATCTGTAGTTATAATACATTATAAGGTTGCAATCTTATATAAATTTT